GTTCAATATTCTAATTTAAGAAAAAAACCGTATTTGGTTATTGTCATCTTGAATGGCTTTCACATGTTTCGTACGTTATTCCTAGTTATGTTAATATAAACATCTTCGACATCAAATTCATGTTCTCAGTTTACTCTGCACATAAAACCTTTTTTTCTTATAATGTAGTACAAAACCACAAGGCTCTCCGGAGAATTTATTATATTAACGTATGGGTATGAGAGGGATTAGCAGAAATGCTTTTCGTAACGGCTAGTTATTTGTTATTTCAGTAATACTAAACTTGCAGAGTATTTGACAGAAAATGTTGTGTTTTAATGAAATACGTCGTGTGGAATCCACTGCATACCGTTACGGTCACTAAACGTGATCCCATGGACACAGAGTTGGCGAATGCCTCTCATACCGGGCTGTCATGTATGTTGACAGTCCTAAACTATTTTATTTTCAATATGTTAAATGGCTTCGTTGTTTGTATAGATCACATGCGACGCATACATTAACGTGTGACGACCAGTGCCATTCACTAACCTTGATATTAATTGTTAATTATTTTCATTATTAGCGTTAATTGGTATCTGTTATGGACGCACAGATATCACCAGTTGTCCGACTTCTATGGTAGACTTTGCAGTATGGTTGTTGTCGGTAAACTCAATTGCAATGAAGGACTCATCCAGACACTGCGTGAAAGTAAAGACGACTGAGAGTAAGTATAAATGACTTGTTTGTATATACTACTTACGATACAAATATGGGGATAAATCTAAAAAGATAAATATAATAAGATGGAAGCCTACCCATAAATGGAAATACCAAGAATTTATTCATTTTACAATATATTTTATTACAGGGCAATGCAATAATATTGACTTAGAAAAGTTGGGGAGAGTATGAGGGGGAAATTCTTCTCCTCTGGGGTTCTCCCACACGTGTCAGGGGAAAATATCGTCTGGTCTCTATATCTCGTCTGCTTGAGGCACCAGACCGGGAACGTCACTTAAGCTTTACAGTCAAATAAGACACACACAACGAAATACGTTTCACTCTCGTCTTAGTCGGTCAGTCGAGCACTCTATAAGACACAGCGCCCTGGGGAAAAGTCCCCAAGTCTATCGCAAGGCTGACCCAAGACTGCGTCTCTCGTGGTGTTAACTAAAACTCTTTTATTTACTTTCAAAACCTTAACCAATTACAAAGAAGTTTAAAGACATGGGGCGTAACCTTCACACATTCATTTTACACATAGCCAATCAAACTAAGTTCTGAACACGTCATATCTTTTGATTAATCGTTCACTATATTACTGGCTGCGAATACCAACTGTCCGAAATAGCGGTCCGGATGGCGACGGTTATATCGCATAAGTCTAAATGATGCCAGATATAACACAGACGTTCACTAGTAACCAAGTCGATCAACAGACACGCGAAAACTACAGTAATTCATGACAAGAGAATGATGATTGAAATTTAATGGATATTTTCTATTTTCGCAGTATTATAACGCTTTTACAATACGTTCATATGGCAGGGATATTATGCCATGTCTTAAATTGTACACTTGTGGCATAGGCTGAAAAACATATATTGGTAATGATGGGTACTCTTTGTTTCCTAAATTATTTCACAAATCTGGGTTTCAAATAGTGTCGAAAAAATTGTCATTAAATTGTATTTCATGGAATTGTTCTAAAATAGCAATTTAGGACAAATATTAGGACAAGTGTCTCAAAAAACGTTATTCTTCCTGTGTGCTCGATTATCCAAATAATCTCAAATTTGTTTACTGTATTTTATTAATGGTATAACATCTTGTCCAAGTTCAATTTTGCTTTCTCATGCGAAAATAACTGTATATGCTTGGCCTGTGTTCAAAATTATGGATACAATCTTGTCAGCAAGATCACTGTGTCAGCATCTTTTATTTCATGTTTTGTCATATTACCTCAAACCCTGCAAATGGAAGTGTGCATGGAATCATGGGAAGAAACGGTGTATATTGTGATAACTGCCATAAAGGTGATTGACAGGTCATACTTATTTTCAACTCTGGAAGCAAAGTGGGTTCTACCAGGTGTGCTTGTAATTTACATAACAAAGATTGTTTACAACTTTGGAAGGAGAATTGGAATCTACCAGGTGTGTTGTTATTTGAATAACAAAGGATGTTTATGATCTACTGAGTTGCCTACGTGACACAGTTGCTAGCAAGATTACATTCTGACTGGCTAATGTGGAAACCCAGGTGGTGTCACTGCCTATAAATTGGACAGACTAAAAACAGTTTGGGTGAATCATTTCAACTTGTAATTGGTGTCCGTCACTTCAACATGCTTTCCTGTGTGTTCTGCTACGATACAATATTACAGGCTACAACCATCATTCTGTGAGACTTGTATGAACTGCTCTGCGATCTCCTGCTTCCAGCGGTGCCCTCCAGAATACCAGCGTTCCTCTGCAAGCAAGACTCCTGTATTTCTCTATTGTTGTGTTGCAGAAGCCATTGACTGTCGTCCAATAATACATCCTGGAACTGTGAGTTCCACCAATGCACACATCCCTAAGCAATCATTTATTTTAGTGACTTATTCATTGTATTTTCTGTGCTTTATTTAGAGAGGTATTATAGCCAGGAGCTTTAACTCGATATTTTCGTGTATGTGTATTTAATTTCCGGTATTTTGTATTGTCTACCCCATACTAGCAGTGAAAGAACCCCCTGTCCAGTGTGAGTTCTGTGGGTGGCCCTCTAATTGCGATAAGCAGGCCTTGCACTGTGACACACTGGTAAAAATCTACTAATTCGCCTTGCAATAACAGCCACTGGTGGCGCTGTATACAGTCAAAACCTATTTAGGCTTGCCAACGCTCACGCCGGCGAACAGTGTAAAATAGACACGTGTTAAATTTGGTGTACAGTTTAGTATTATAGAACACGTGCAGAGCCGGAATAAAATAGTACATTAGCGAATTTTGTTTCAAACGTTGGCTAAGGTCATTGAGAATGACCCCCCCCCCCCCGAACCTAAACCGTTGGTCAAAGCATGTTGAAGATTTATTGTTTTTTAGCATTGATTTTACCTACCACAGATATCCAACCATGCAATAACCTCTAATTACCATTGAAATGTATTACTGTATAGCAACAATATTTTAAAAACAATGAATGCAAGATAAATCTGCATCTGTAACAGATCACTGCAACATGCATGACGACGTCATATACATGGTGACGTCATTGCTGACGTCAGAAATCCGTCGACCTTGTGAAGCCGATGTCATTTGAAAGCTAGTAGATCCAGTCAAATCTAATTTGATTTTTAGGTCAACCCGGACAAATTTGCAACAGACAGTTTCTTTGCAGATTTAGCAACAATAGACATCTATAAACAACATATCAAAAGTCTACCAAAATCTGACAAAGGGAAAGTTGATTTTTTTTTCAGGTATTGATATTGCCCATATAATGGAAATATTAAGCCATTTTATTGATGCAGTGAAACATACAAATGCATATGGGATAATAATGGTCAATATATCCACATATTTATCACACTTATCATATTTAGTCAGCTAAACATTGTTTTTTTGCGCACGGTGAAGCAAATAGCGCCCTCTATATGTATGTACAGCGCCACCAAGTGGTGATATTTTCAGAAATACACAGGGTCTGCTATTAGTCTTGTTTCATTGGCATTTTATCAGTATAAATTCTACACAATATAGAAAACTTTGCGATTATTGTTCATATATCATTTTCATTATTAAAAAACAAAATTTCAGGATTATTTGGGGCATATTTAGATCGATGATTCGCCAAATCAACATGATACTTTGCTGCACCTCCCACAAATTAAACATCTACATAAAAACAATCAAATGGATTATGTTTATCAAAGTATATGTGATTGTATGATACAATGGTGATACAATGGTAATATATATGAAGGACACTTCACAGTTACAGGTATGTGGAATGTTGCAATGATCACATAATGAAGGGGGCTCATATCAAGGTTTGATTTGGTAATATCAAAAGGGTGATTTTCAAGACTTGTGAGGTATCGATTATATCAATAATTATGTCAATGTTTGTGGTAGAATGAGACAGTTACAAACCTACCATGATCAGACTTGTGTTTTGTCATACCTTCATTCTGTTTGGGATTGGTTGGTATGAAAATAGGTTGGTTGGTTGGCCACTCACCAAATCAAGACAGTATAATTTTAAGTTTATAATATTATAGGTGATCATCATCATCATCAAGATCCAGATAGGATGAATTTCTACAGCTTAAACCTCTACATTCATCACACATGGGGGAGTATTCTAGTCCATGTTTTCTACATGTACAACTTGTCGTTCGACAGCCTGCTTTACATTTACATCTGATAACTTTTAGTGATTTGTCAGGTGCAGGAGGCTTGTCAGTTTGGATAGCAAGCAATTTTCCCTTCTTCACTTTCCAGCCCCATTCTTCTGGATTAACATGAGTTTGCCCTTTTCACATCAGAACCTGGTGGTATACCCGTTAACTATGGTAAACTACAGCTGCAGATGTTGGTGAAATATTCTCAGGCCCTACACATGTAACGCTTGTAGCAACTTTCTGAAAGAATTTTCCCATTCTGAGTGAATCCAATGTTTCATGGAACTTGCCATCATATAAAGGAACCAAAGCTTTGCTACTGACTCCACAATGTCGTCTTTTGAAACATCATCTTGGTCAAACACTGAAGCATGACATTGAAACTGCTTGTTGGTTTGGATTTTTTCAAGGACAGACCTTTTCCTAAGCCATATATCGTGGATGTGGTGTCACAGCTCAAGATAGCATGTATAAATAATAGATTTTTGCAAACAAGTGGTCCTAGTTTGTCTTTGGTATGTTTTATGTCCCACACTTTGACTTCGTTTTTTGTATTTCGCCGTGCCTCTGGTTATAAATACAGTTTGTGACTATTTAAGTTGGCATGGTAGATCAACAACAAGTCAACAAGTCCGTTGGTGCAATGACAGCAGAGTCTACAGCTGTCATCACTATAAGGGCATCTGCATCTTCTTCAGCATGTCGAACCTTGATTTCCTTCACTTCCAGTTCAGTTCCCAGGATATTAATGAACCGCTGCTTATTTGCTACATTTGCAAGGAACTGTCGTTTCTTCATATTCATATCCACGCAGAATCAAAGTTAACACTAGTAGAGGATGAGGACCTTGATGTACCATTTGCATAAAACCATTCCAAGATGGTCTAGATTGATGTAATAACCAAGAGATTTCCCACAGAAGATCCACATTCAATGTATCATCACCTGCTATCAAACTGGGTAACTGGGCATACTTTAATTTGGCCATGCCCTTTGATAACTGCTTATAATATTTAATATTGACTTTTGCAACAGATACCATATCCTCGGATGTGATATGAACTTTAGGTATGGTGTTGTTCCACAATATCCCTGGTGTTATAGTTGAAACATGTACAGCCCGTCAATTGTCCGGACATTATGGTCAACAACATCAGCTACATGTTGTATGACATGTCCGGGTGTAAAACCAGGAATGTCAGTTTCTTGGTGCAAGGTGGCACTACGTTCAAACTTCTGTACATCTGCATATGATGAACAAAACCCATTACTATGGAAATAATCAATGAAAAATCGTGAGCCAAATTGGCGATGCATTTGAATAACAAGTCCTATTTGTAGTGGAGTCACTATAACTCGCGGGCGAACTGACTGCAAGATGGCCTGCCATATGGATGCCACCTTAACATCAGGGTCTTTTCCAACAAACATAAGTAAAACTTTCAGGGTGGATGGAAGGTACTCAATGGCTTTCCCAGTGCATTGCATTTCTTCAAAGTTTGGGTATAAATGACTAGTTGTGCTGGACGATTTTATATCATTTTTAATAAGTTGTGCAACCGTTTTAATGAGCCGATTTTTTTTCGGATTCAGGGTCTTTCATTCTTTGCATGATAGTGGTAATCATGTAAAATTGCTGATGCTGAGAGGTCTGGCTTGTACCGGTTGCACCCACTCATCTTCGTGGATAATTAGTTTCGTTGTTGCAATGTTGCAATTCAGGGACGCACGAATCTAAATTTATCACAAGCATTTATAAACAAGACGCGTTTAGTAAAAAGCTTTCAAATCTTGGTAAAAGATGTGTCAGTGTTTGTCTCCAGTAAGTATGAAAGTGTTCAAGCTAAAAAATCGCGACATAATTTTGTGCTACTTAAGGTTCTTCTGGTTGCCATAATCAATAATCAAAAGTCACATTGACTTTACAAAATTGAGCAATTTATTATGATTGACAGTCATGCAAGGACCTGCAAATGACTTGTTTTAAATATTATTTCTCTAAACAGAGCAATTAATACAGCAAGGAAGACGAGAAGTAATCATATCAAAGTGTTTATATAAGTTTTACCATGACAATCTTCCTTGTATAACAGAATTCAGCTATATTTTGGGAATATTAGGGTGTTTAAAAACCCCTGGAAATTACAAACGAGTCATTAAAAGTTCAAACAGTGCTTAGTTTCCTAGATGCTTGTGCTTAGGATTAAAGGAAAGATATTTTGTTATACCGATATATATCTGGTGAAAAAAAGATTGGTTGACTACTTTACAGGATTAAAATAATTGTTCATCGTCCTGCCAAGTTTCATTGATATCTGCTGCAGAATTTCTGAGAAAATGATTTTTGTACCTGCCAAACAATGGAATAGTCCAACTACCCCTGTCCCTCGTGGCCACACATCAAAGGCATACCATGTCCGTTTTTTTATTAACTGCCCCGTCGGCGGATATGTAACTTTATTGCGTCCACAACGGTCACTGGATCGTCTAGGAAAGTGTCTGGGGATGTTGCAAAGTCCCTCGGTCAGGTCATTGCGTACCAGATGCGGGAGTTTGGTGTATGTAAATATCTTGCGCCCGCTGTAACAAAATGTCTGAATTTAGGTTCTCGTGATTACGTCGTTTGTGTTTTCAAGTTGGAGAGATTAAAAGTCAAATAGAGTACAATTACGACAATTATTGTAGTGGTCAACATTATAGGTTACAGGGTCAGGTGTATAATTTTATATTTGGCTTCAGGTGTGGCAGTCAGTATAGAGCTTAACACAACTAACACCGATGTCACAGTCAATAGAAGTCGTTTGTAAGAGAAAGCTAATTTTGGGGTCATTCGTATATGTAGTCTAATTGTTTATAATAAAAAAAATACTGCCAGTACTAAGACGGACGCGTTCGTTGACTCAGACACTAAATAAAATGCAATAATGGAGAGATGATAGCTAGTAATATTATTAAATAGGATGTTGTCGTGATTGTTATTACATTTTGCAGCTCATGTTGTTAGTGGATTTTTATTTGGCATTTAAGAGTCTGATGGTATAGTTCATCAGTTCCCGGCTGTGGTAACCGGTCGATATGCGAAAGATTGATATTCAAAAATCCCGAGGACCTGAGGCGGTTGATTTATGATTTTCCATTTCTAGTACAAGTTAGTGTTGGTGATTAATGGTTAACCCTCGATGAAATTTATTATTTCATGTTATATAAGAGCTCCGTTATTTAGTAGGTTACATATAGTATTGTAAAACCAAGTTTTTTAGCATTCCATAATGTGCAGAGCGCCAAGTTTTTGCATTTCCTTTGTTGTAGTTATTAATGTTTTATGACAATCAAAATAATGAGAACTGTTCCAGTTACTCAGTGTTATGTCCAGTGATATTGGGATTATTTACATGTTATGTAATAAATAACCTAGGCAAATAATTTCTTCCAAGTCTCTCAACAACGTATTAGGACCTACATTTGCGCTTGAACAGTGATTTATTGGTTTGATGTTTTACTTGATATACGTATAAGTTACATGTAATAGACGCGTGTATAAACCGCAACTACCATTCATGACCTATTCACACCTCTCACATTGTTCCATGGCGCAAATAATTGATAGTGAAATAGTAATATTGAATATATGGTCAACAGTGATGATTATATCAACATCAATATTTATAAACCATATGTGTATGGAAGACATAAGTGTAGAACATGATCTTATTGGCAAAATTATTGGGCTGACACTTTTTGCCACAAAGGAAATATTAATATAAATTTTACCTGAGAAGATTTTGAAATATATAGCCATAAAAATATGTGGATTTTTCTATGTATGTTGATTCTTATATACAATGGCAGAGGCAGGTTTCATTTATGGTAGCGTTGGTCATTTCAATTATCTTGTGACTATGATAATCCGTGACAAACCATGGCGCTAAACAACGAAGCTAACGTTTAACGAACCCTCGAGTTATTGACCCCCCCCCCCCCCCGGCCTTGAACAATCGATACGAAATCTTCCGGCGTCACGGTGTCAATAGGCAATCCAGGACTGGCTATTGACTGTTTTTCCTTACTAATGTAGGAATATTGCGGCGTAAACATTTCGTACGTTTAAATATAGATCATGAAATATAAATATATCATACAAGTTATTTGGAAATGAATATAAATATGTTGTGTTTGTAAAGCACGAGATAACGTTTTAGTTTATAGGCTTGAAACAGCACTCGGTTATCTATTTAATGTTAACATTGGTACACAAGTGGAGATCATGCCTTTGACAATGGACTACCCCCTTATATAATCAGTTTAAACACTCAAAACGTCGGGGCCGAAACCTCTGCTATTGAAAAAAATGGCGGTCGAACGACCGGCCACCATCAAGCACATCTGGGGATTCACGTACACGAAGGTGTAGATTATAATCTGGCATTTTCGGATAAATTACGATGTATAAATATAATGGCTGCGGTGGTTGGTTGAGTCCCAGAGACCGAGTGTAGTATCAGGGGAAAAATCATCTCCTCTAGGGTTCTCCACACGTGTCAGGGAGGAATATCGTCTCGTCTCTCTATCGCGCTTGAGGTACGGGATCGGGAAAGTCACTTAAGCTTTACAGTCAAATACGTTTCAACTCTCGTCTTAGTCGGTCAGTCGAGCACTCTATAAGACACAGCGCCCTGGGGAAAAGTCCCCAAGACTATCGCAAGGCTGACCCAAGACTCTGTTCCAAGACTGCCCCAAGACTCTCCAAGACTGCGTCTGTCTTGGTGTACTGGCCAAGACCAACTAAAACAACTTTATTCACTTTCAAAACCTTAACCAATTACAAAGAAGTATTAAGTGGCCTTCACACATTCAACTAATCACACTAAGTACTGGACACGTCATATCTTTTGATTAATAGTTCATGATATTAGTAACTGTGAATACCAACTGTCAGAAATAGTAGTCCGAATGGCGACGGTTATATCGTAATTAGTTCCAAATCACTGAACCAAGTTCATGAGCCTAAACGATGACAGATATAACACAGCCATTCGCTAGTAATCAGCTAATTAAGTCGATCAACAGATACGTGCAAACAATTTCATCATAGTAGATAAAGTTTGGTGATGTTTTCTTTCACGTTCACTTGAAATAATTTGGCTCCAAAAATATTCATGAGAAGGATTCTGAAACACAAGTTGATAATAGGCATATAGGACGGAGTGTTTTTATTGGTTCGTTAACTCGAACTGTTATTGGTCAACTTTAACCATAAATGATGTTTTCTTTCACGTTCGCTTGGAATAATTTGGCCCCAAAAATTATTCATGAGAAAGATTCTGAAATACAAGTGAATAAAAGGCATATAGTACGAGTTTTTTATTGGTTCGTTAACTCGAACTGTAATTGGTCAACTTTAACCAATAAATGACAGCGTTAAAAAAGTTTTTGTCCAATTAGAAAGAATTGAGGTTTGTGGGAAAATATCGTTAGAGAACGAGTTTGGAGCACATGTCATTTTAGTGAAAGGTTTCGGTGAGTGAAGACGTCGATATCGAGGAATAAGGACGCATAGTAGCTGAAAAGGGTAATAACTTTTTATGTAAATTTGATTACTTTCGTAGAAAATGGCGAGTTATATGAATGACGTAGCATTTACGGCATACTCTTGCAACATGAGAAATTACTACAATTATGAGCCTAAAAGATCAGCACATTGCGTCCTATGTAATATGGCGATGATTATTCGATTTAGATATTTCCAGTCAAGAAGTAGTTCGTTTTTTTATTTGACAATGTAACATGTAAATGATATTAGTGGT